CAGACTGATAAATCACAATTAACTGACTGAAGACCACTGGTGCAGGCAGTGGGGAAAAAAAAAATCAAAGACAGGCAGATATGGGAGAAAGGAAAAGTCAAGAACCTAAATTTGGTCATTCAACTAATTTTTCTTGAACATTTCATTCATATACTAAAGAGTACTCAGCACTTGCGAGCACTCGGTACAAAGCAGCAAGTCTCTCATTATATACAAAACAGACTTAACACAAAGAGTTGACAGAGCAGATAATGAGAGTCTAGGACGAGTGACTAGGCAGATGGCACATTTGAACTGAGCCTCAAAGGATGAGCAAAAACTAACCAGCCAGGTGACACAGCTAGAAAATTAGTCTTGGACAACAGAGATCGCAGATTTTGAAGTCTGTAAGGCTGATTGACTCAAGGAGTACAAAAGTGACCGAATAAAAATTGGGGAAATCACATTATAATGGCTCATAGGAAGGAACAGCACTCGTGCTCTCTGGTTGCTGCCTAGGAAGGCACTATGGGGTAGACACTTAGGTTTTCTTTCCTTAATTGCAGACCCATCTACAAAAATGGTACATGGCATCCATGACACGTGACCACAGAATGGAGAGGGCTCCCTATCACAGAGCAACCTACGTCATCCCACACATACCACGTCGCCTTCAACCAGAAGACTAAAGACTGGTGTCTCAAGTCAAGTACAGTAATCAGGGACAAGAACTCTTATTCCTTCATATCAATACCACTCTGCATCCCAATACCAGAATCTTTGTTTGATGCGCCAGGCACTAGAAAGCAATCTGGTCTTGTGATCTCCTCTAACTCTGCATTTAAGTTTTTATCTCTTTTATGACCCAAGTTTTCAAATAACAGATTTTTAGGGGGCTGGTAAAACTTCTAATTTACAAAAACATTCTACATTTCAGGAAGATTTCCATTACAAAAGCAGTTAATGTCCTGATGTTTAATAAGTTTAAGCTTTCAATTTTCTAGAACTTCTATTTATATAAAACTCTTACTGTGCCAATCTTCATAGGCCAAATAAAAACAGTGTAGCATGGTAATGCCTTCTGTTATTTTCTACCATAGCATAGACACATTAAAGGGAAGGAAAGAGAGGTCAATTTTTTAAATGAAGATAATCTGGAAAAGTAAGCCTTTCTATCCACTTAAATGAAGCAACACTAAAAACTTAGAAAACAACATCAGTAATCTATATGTTACACTAACCTGCCTTTACTTGTTGGTGGTACTAGTGGGAAGTTAGTAATAAAGTTATAGATGAATTTAGTTAGTAATATATTTTCAGACAGATGAAACACCTTTCTTAGACTTAGAATCTACTTCTCAATAGACACACATCTGGAGATAGTCACAGACAGTATAGTATTAAAATAATGAAGTTGATTTTCAGAGTGCTTTTTGGAAATATGCTTGGGTTAATAGATGATCTGTTATTTATTTAAAAAAAAAAACATGAAGAAAATTGAGAAATCTCTGCCTGAGTCTGATATGGATAGGAACCAACATAATTTGCAGATGCAAATGATCGCTGTTTTACATGCATTGTTTCATTTAGTCTTCACAATAGCCCTAGTAAATAGGTGCCATTATTCCTACTTTATAGATTAGGAAACTGATGGGAGGGGATAAAGTGTGCCCAGACCACCTGATCAGTGTCTGAAAGGGCTAGAACTCAACCTGAGGCCTGTGACTCCACATCCCACCTTCTTTTCACAAGCCAAGGTGTGTCTCAAGCAGCTAAGTCTTTGATACTAATTTGCTTAGGGTGTTTGTAATAAAATATAGGGGTAAGAGAGGTCAACTTTTTTTGGAACATTGAGATTCTTCAGAATCACACAACTGTCTAGAACTATGCTATCCAATGTGGTAGCCACTAGCCACACATGGCTACTTAAAATTTAAATTACTTAACATTGAACAAAATTAAAAACTCAGTTCCTTAGTTGCACTATCCCATATTTCAACTGCTCAATAGACACATGGGGCTACAAGCTACCACAATGGGCTGAGTAGATTGTAGAACAGTTCTATCTTTGCAGAAAGATCTATAGGCTAGCACTGATCTAGAGGACCCCCAGTGGACGTGGTCAAGTGGGGGACCTTAGTATCTTTAGGTTATTGCTGTCTAGAATGTTAGAGGGCATCATAGACATTGAGCAGACCTTTTTGTCTCCACTGTTAGGACAGGATCAGTTCATTCTCCTTAATGTCTTTCCCTAAGATGTACTCTCGATAGTTGACATTAGAGAAAGGAATAGCTATAAATACTTTATGCAAACTGATCACATTATATGTTCCAACTTAGACAGGAGAGCTTTTTGTTTGTTTGTTTTTGAGCCACAGAGGGGAAGCAGTATGTAATAATTCACTTTTAAGAACTGGTTCAACGAACACTTGAAAAATATAAAGCAAGAGATTTGTGAATAGAAAACCATGTCATAGTGTGCAGTCATGCAGGAACATCACACAAAATGAGTTTACAAATTACATTACATTCACTACAGGTACCTTTATGTGTTTCCACTAAGAAATGGTATTATTTAAACCAAATGACATGTTACCTAAAAGAAGTCCAAAGCACAAAAAAGGAAGAAGAGAGAAAGAAGACAGTCTAAGTATAAAAACGATGACCAAATTAGTCACTCTAAGACGAAAGGCAAAAGGGAAATGCAGGTGGAAGCAACACAATTGCACGTTGATGAATGAATAAATAAACAAAATGTGGTGATCTATTATTCAACCTTAAAAGGAAGGAAATTCTGACACATGAGACAACATGGATGAACCTTGAGGACATTATGCTAAGTGAAATAAGCCAGTCACAAAAGAACAAACACTGTATTATTCCAAACACTGTATTATGTGAAGGATCTACAATAGTCAAGTTCATACAGACAGAAAGTAGAAGGTGGTTGCCCGGGACTGGGGGGAGGGGGAATGACTGGGGAGTTGTTTAATGGATACAGAGTTTCAGTTTTGCAACATTCTGGGGATTGGTTGCACAGCAATATGAATATAGTTAACATTATTGAACTGTACATTTGGTACAAGAGCAGACACATTGACCGATGGGACAGAATAGAAAATCCAGAAATAAACCCAAATACCTACATATATACTAGGGAAAGAACACCCTATTCAACAAATGGTGCTAGGAAAACTGGATAGCTATATTCAGAAAAATGAAACTTGATCCCTATCTCTCCCCATAAACAAAAATTAACTAAAGGTGAATTAAAGACTTAAAACATCAGACCTGAAACTAAAAATTCTAGAAGAAAAACTAGGAAAAACTCTTATGGACATAGGCCTAGGCAAAAAATTTATGGCTAAAATTCCAAAAGCAAATGCAATGAAAACAAAAATAATAAAAAGTGGGACTTAAACTAAAAAGCTTCTGCACAGCAAAAGAAATAATCAACAGAACATACAGGCAAACTAAGAATGGAAGAAGATACTCACAAACTATACATCTGACAAAGGACTAATATCCAGAATCTCAAACAAATTAGCAAGACAAAAAGGAAATAACACCATTAAAAAGTGGGTAAATGGCATGAACAAAAGAAGATATACAAAAGAAGATATACAAATGCTCTCAAAAGAAGATATACAAATGGCCAACAAAAATATGAAAAATGCTCAATATCACTCATCATCAGGGAAATAATACAAACTAAAATCACAATGAGAGACCACCTTACACCAGTCAGAATGGCCATTATTTAAAAAATCAAAAAACAATAAATTCTGGCACAGATATGCCAAAAAAAGGAACACTTATACACTGTTAGTGAGAGTGTAAATTAGTACAACCTCTATGGAAAGCGGTATGGAGATTACTCAAGAACTAAAAGTAAATCTACCATTTGATCCAGTGTTCCCACTACTAGGTATCTACCCTAAGGAACAGAAGTTGTTATACAAAAAAGACACCCATACCCGCATGTTCATCACAGAACAACTCATAATTGCAAAAATGTGGAATCAACCTAAATGTCCACCAGCTGATCAGTAGATAATGAAAATGTGGTATATACACACACACACACACACACACACACACACACACACACACAATGAAATACTATACAGTCACAAAAAAGAATTAAGTATGTCCTTTGCAGCAACATGAATTTAGCTGGAGATTATCATTCAAAGTGAACTGACTCAGAAACAGAAAACCAAGCACAGCATGTTGTCACTCGTATGTGGGAGCTAAACAGTCACAAAGATGGAAATAACAGACACTGGGGACAGCAATAAAGGTGGAGGCAGAGAGGGTTAACTACCTATGGGGAACAATGTTCACTATCTGGGGGAATGAGCCACCTGAGACCCAATCCCCACCACTACACAATATGTCCATGTAAAGAATATACATATATACCCCTGAATCTAAAATAAAAATTAAAAAATAAAAAAAGAAATGGTTAAGATGGTAAATCTTATGTTGTATATTTTTACCACAATAAAAATAAAATAGGCCGGTCTCGGTGGTTCAGCCTGTAATCCCAGCACTTCGGGAGGCCGAGGCAAGTGGACTGCCTTAGCCTGCAGGTTCGAGACCCATCCGGGCAACCTGGTGAGACCTCATCTCTACAAGAAGTCAAAAATTAGCTGGGCGTGGTAGCACACGCCTGGAAGGCTGAGGCAGAAGGATTGCTGGAGCCCAGCAGGGCAAGGCTGCGGTGGCCGAAAGCGTGCCACCGCACTCCAGTCTAGGCGACAGAGTGAGATTCCAACTCAAAAAATAAATAAATAAGGTATTATAATAATAACAATAATAATAATAATAATAAAGGAATTACATGCCCTTCTTGGAAAAGCCATCAAGATCTGTTAGACCTACCTACTGGTCACTTCCTCCACCATTCCATCTTAATTCCATAGTCCCCCTACTGCAACAAAAGTGAATGGCTGCTCTGAACTTTTAAATATTTAAATAATGGAATATGATAATGATAAAGCCAAATATACAAATACCTGGGTCAGTGGCGGAGATGATTGCTCCAAAAAAGAGACAATCTGTGTAATAAAATTTATCTGAGAGCTGTCCCACAATCTTCATGAGCTTCACCACACCATACATGAGATTTCTGTAAGAAGGTAAGGTAAATTATGTCAGAAGGAAAAAAACTGAGTAACCTAGCAAACATGCAAGCAGAGTGGCATTAGAATACTGTACTTTGAGGGAGATTTTAAAAAATAACAGGCAGCTTCTATGGTTGGACACTTACCAGGAACATGGGCAAATAGGACTTTGGCACCAAGTAATGGTTTGCAGTTAATGCATCTTGCTGAAACATCTTTTAAAAGCTGAAAGTGCACTTTTAAAAGCTGCACTTACTAATAACTATAGCAGTTCTGAAGTATGGATAACTGGGTAATAGAGGGGAAAGGAAGAGAGAGAAACTGGCATAATGTACAATAATTTGCTACAAAACTCACAGAAAAAAGTCATAGAAATGAGTAGACTAGATGACACTGGAGAGAAACAAAAATGGGTTGGTCACAAAGATCCCAGGGATTGACCTATTACTGCCTTCTCTGCTTAGAATTATTTCAAAGGAGGGAAAAGAGGCAAACTTTTAAAATGTCCTATTAGAACATCAGCATCAACATGTCTGGCCTCTCACTCTTTCCACAGGTCAGGCAGGCCAGCAGCCTCCTTATGCTATGTAGAATGTCACATGGCCCAAGAGGGGCTACCAAGTTAAATTTTTCAGCTTGGCTGGAGCACGTTTCCTATAGAACAGCTTACAAATTTGGAGGAGTGTGTGAGAGAGAGAGAGAGAGAGAGAGAGAGAGAGAGAGAGTGTGTGTGTGTGTCTGGGCAGCGGCAGTGATAGCAGCAGTAGCAGCAGGAGCTAGGGGAGTAAAACTAACCACAGACTTGACTCATTGTACCCTACAGTCAAACCTCTAATAACAAGATTCACGATGGGAAGGATCATGCCATTACCCAAATTTGTGCCTTGAATACCTATAACAGTAGATTAGCTAAGCAAGAAACAAAAGAACTATTTGCAGAACAGGATCCCTTAAAGAAGAAAAAGCTATAATTTAATGCTTGCCTACTGTGTGCCAGACACTGTCCAAGACACTTAGCCCATTCAATTTCAGTTTCCAGCAACCCTATGACACAGACATGCCCTTTATTGCTTATCAAAGGCAAAAGTGTATCTACTTTTTAAACATTCACTGTAAGTAGATCTTCCTCTCCATATCCTTCTACCATAATCTTAGACCTGGGCAATAGACTTTTCTGGCAGCCTTTCCCCGCATTTTGCCTCCCACCATCACCAATGCCAGTTTTATAGCCTGTCACTCTTTAGTGACTTATAATCTCTTTAAGGACTAAGTCCAAGCCCCTCCTTTTATAATGGCATTGAAGGTTCCTACTTTTATCTTCAGGTTTCCAGCTAATTTTTTTTAAAAATCAATAAAAATCCTTCCTTTATTCAGATTTTTCTTACTTTTTACCTAATGTCCTTTTTCTGTTCCAGGATCCCATCCAGGACACCAGATGACATTCAGTCATCAAATCTCTTTGGTCTCCCTTTGGTGGTGACACTTTCTTATTAACTTTTGCTCATTTTTTATGATCTTGACAGATTTGAGGAGTACTGGTCAGATATTTTGTAGAATGTCCCTCAACTGGGATTTTTCTGCTTTTTTCTCATGATTAGACTGAGATAATATGCTCTTTTGGGTAGAAAACCAGAGACTCAAAGTGCCCTCCTCATCACAAATATTAAGGGTGCATAATTTGTAAGTTGTTCTATAGGAAACGTGCTCCCTCTGTCAACATGACTTGTCACTGCTGACATTGACCTGATCACTTGGCTAAGGCAGTATCTGCCAGATTTCTTTACTGTAAAGTAACTCTTTTTTCTCCTTTCTGTACTATACTCTTTAGAAAGAAGTCACTGTGCACAGCCCACACTCAATGCAGAAGTAGAAGGACTAGGCTCCACCTTCTTGAGGGGATGTATCTACACAAAGTATTTGGAATTCTGCACAGGAGATTTGTCTCTTTGTCCCAGTTTATTTATTCATCCAATCATTTATTTATAACCATACGGACTCAGGAATATTTATTTTAAACTTTGGGTGATAATTGAATACAATATTATTTATTTTGTTGTTCTTTAGGGGGACCTTTGGCCATTACAGGGGCTTTCAGGTTGGCTCTTTCTGTCCCTTTGACATGGCCCACATCTTTTTGTCTATCTTTGAGTATTTCCTTACTTTCTGGCATAACATGATGCCCCATTTTCATCTAGTATATTTCCTGCCCCAGCACTAGAATTAGTAATTTCTCCCATCCAAGTAATAACCAGGCCTAACCCTGCCTAGCTTCTGAGATCAGATAAGATCAGGCAAGTTCAGAGTGATGTGGCTGACAGAGTTAGTCAATTCTCTAAGGGGCTTTGGTTCTTTTTATCAAAGAATGATAGTAGAAACCAAGATCTGGGCACTGGATTTAACTTTATTTCATTTTAGTTAGTCTTAATTTAAATAGCTACATGTGACTAATAGCTACTATACTGGACTGTGTAGCTCTTGAGCCAAATTGTCATCATCACAAACATCAAAATACTGGACTTCATGAACCCATATGAATCTTATCTCCTTGGAAAGTGTATTAATTTGGATTTATGACCAAGATTAACTTACCCAATAATGAAGCAGGAAACAGCAGTCCCCAAGAAGGCATAGGCCAGAATAGACCCAAGATTTCTGAAAAAGTGTCTCTGAATAAAACAAAAACCCCAGTAATCACATTGTGATTTTTGACAGTGAACATAAGAAACACACTAAAAGTCTCTAAAAAGTAGAACTCTACTTACCATTTCCATTACATCAAGTGCTAACTGAAGTTACACCTGAATAATACTACTTAGCCTTAAACATCATAGTTTTAAAATATCTTCTGCATTGCCAATCACTGAGCAAGTAAGCAAGGGCTTAGTACATTTTCAGATCAACTACTGTAGCTGATTTTATTAAATTACATTGTGTGTGTTTGTGCACATGTGTGCATAAGTAGATCAATCATTTTTATAGATTTAACCCAAATTATTTTACTTGGTAATTCAGCATGTCACTTCTAGTTCTGGTGGTATCTCAGAAGATCATTACAGATATAAGTTTGAAACAAATAAAGTATGAAAGGGCTATCTAAGGAGCTTTCTGCTTAATTTGATATCAGAAAACAGAAGTCTGAAGTATCAGCTCATAGGACCTCAAGTGTCCCTTATATTCATCTGGATTAATCTTTGAAGCCTGGGAAAGAGGGACGATATATGGTATGTGGAGAAATGAAAAACACATTGTTCTATTTAAGATGGACAAGGAAGAAACTCATACCAATATAAGATCTAGCAGTTATTCATAAAGAAGTGGTAAAAATGCAATTCTCTCAATGCCTTTGCTCATTTATTTGTTACTTTAAAAATCATAAACACACACAGTGGGATTTACTTCTTATACGTCATTAGGCCTATGGGATATTATGACAGAGGGAAAATGTATCCTGTTCCTGGGACCCTGAGCCACAGTTGGTTCTTCTTCCTCAAGGCATAAGCTATTCTCATTCAATAAACAGAATTATATATAAAAAAAAAATTCTCCAAACACCCTGACCAAACAAGGGCCAGGAACACTTTATCCAAAAATGTTTAAAAAGTCAGAGAAGTCCCACCATACCAGCTGAGCAACATCCGGGAAAGACAGGGCACAGGAAGAGGGACCTAGCCTGGATCAGGCTGCCACACCACCACAAAACATGGCCAGAAAAATGACTGTGGATGTCCTCTGGTCTGCGCCCCAGACAGAGGGCTTCAGACTTCCCCAATGCTTATTCATATCTGCAGCTGCAAAGAAGGTGTCAAGGAATGTCTAGGGCTCCTAAGCCACCTGCTCAGAAGACAATCCTTCATGGATTAGCCATGCCAATAGTCACCACATGAGGGTGCTGCCTGTACATATGATGGACACATTATGTTTACCTCTGACATCATTGTCCCTCATCTTTTTGTTTTTAAGCTAAAGCATTTATACACCAATGTTTTGCAGCAAAAAAAAATATATATATATATTATTATCTTGAATTGGGGTCTCACTCTGTCGTCCAGGCTGGAGTGCAGTGGCACAATCATGGTTCACCACAGCCTCGGCCTCCTGGGCTCAGGCAATCCTTCTGCCTCAGTCTCCCAAGTAGTTGAGACTACAGGTAAGTGCCACCACACCCAGCTAATTCTGAAATATTTTTGTAGAGATTGGGTCTTGCTATATTTCCCAGGCTGGTCTTGAATCCAGGGCTCAAGCGATCCTCCCACCTCAGCCTCCCAAAGTCCTGGGATTACAAGCATGAGCCACCATGCCTGGACAAAATTAATTATGTTTCAAAAAATCAACAATTGTTGAGTCCACTTCCCTTTAAGAGTTCCATCAAGGGCTCAAATCAGGAAGTGTTAGGAGTGTTTCAAGAATGAGGCATGATGACTGGACGCAGTGGCTCACACCTGTAATCCTAGCACTTTAAGAGGCTGAGGCAGGAGGACTGTTTGAGCCCAGGAGTTTGAGACCAGCCTAAGTAACATAGTGAGACTTCATCTCTACAAAAAATCAAAAGCTAGCTGGGCATGCATGCTCATAGTCCCAGCTATTCAGGAGGCTGAAGAGAAAGGATCACCTGAGCCCAGAAAGTTGAGGCTGTGGTAAGTTGTGATTGTACCACTGCACTCCAGCCTGGGTGACAGAGTGAGACTTTAGTTCTATAACAAAAACAAAACCAGATGAGGCATGAGACCAATAACACTCATGTGAAGTACCCAGGAACAAATTTCAGTTCCAGATGCGGTTTCTCTTGCCACTTAGCTTTCTTTTGGGTAAATCTTCCCATGGTTAGTCTGAATATGTATTAGATGAATTCACACTCATGATATTAGCCAAAGCAAAAATTAGGAATATAAATCTGCCACCAAAAAACATTCATAATGTATTCTAAAATCATATACAAACACGCAATTACCCATCTCCTGTTCATATCTGCTGAAGTGAGCTGAAATTTTACTGTACCTTGAAGAGATATCATACTTATTTGTATATTATATGTAGTATTTAAATGTATTCTTCATAGGCACAAAGTACTTTCACATAGATTAGCCCACCCAATTCTCACAACAACCCGATCTGTGAGGTGTTGTTTGGACCATCTTACATGAAGAAATCTAAGGCTCAAAGTATGACGTAAGTTGCTTGAAATCACATATCCACCAAAATATAGGCCCAGAACTGGAAAGCTAGCTTCCTCACCCCAGAGCATCATGCCCTCACTGTGCAAGCTGCCCTGCTACCCAGGTCCTCAATTCCCACCACTTCTCTTTGGGAACAAATGGACAGAAGGTGACAAGTGAAATCCTAGATCTTTCATCCTATTCTTATTTGGCTACAGTACAGTTAACTGGTTTAGAGTCTCCCCTAATTTCCCCTCTCAATTATATAATGACAAGAAGAGACAAAAGGAGTTGATGGCACACTCTGGCAAAACTTTCAAGAATCTATAGTTTTGCAGTTGGCGCAGTTAATAAGCTGAAAAACGAACTGTGATAATGATATATATATACAGTTTTTTGTCTACAGTTCCTTGCTCATAACTCTTATAGCCCTTATTACAACTTTTCACAATCAATTTACATTGTTTTTGAAATGTTAGCCTGAGTAGGGGAAAAAAACCCCACAAATTAGTTTTTATCTGCTCTCACATCACAATAATCAACACAGAAGATTTCTTTGACCAAATGTCAAGGAGGAGGCATTTCTCCCCACCAGCAAGCAAGCAATCAATTCTGCATCAGACACCAGCTGGGTATCCTCCAATTCAATTCTGACACTATCTGCCTGGAGATAGTGTCAGATCCTACAGCTTGAGGGCTCATTTCACAAGACTGCTTCTCCTTCAGACACCTGTCACAAGTCTGGGCCTCCCAAACTTCTGACCTGCTGACTTCAAGTTGGGGTTCCCACAAACCCGGCTTTGGGCTTGGTCAATTTGCCAGAGTAGCTCACAGAACTTACTAACTTATGTTTACTGGTTTATTATAAAGGATATTACAAAGGAGACGACGAAGAGATACATAGGACAAGGTATGTGGGAAGGGGACGTAGCACTTCCATGCCCTCCAGGAACCGCCATATGTTCAGCTACCCAGAAACTCTTGCAGCCCTGTTCTCTTGAGTCTTTTATGGAGACTTCATTGGATTGGTATTATTGATAACCATGTAGAAATATGATTAGACAAAAGGATATGATTTCATACTAATAGATTGAATGGAGAAACCTAGCAAGGCCTGTCTGTTCAGATTCTTCTTGGCCTCTCTGTGCAGCATTCCTTCCTCCCCAGAATGGAGCAAGACTCCTTCTGAAACAAGGATCTTATGGCCCACAGTCAGAAAGATGGGGGAAGATTAGAATATATTTTTTATTTCTATAGCCTGCCTGGGGGAGAAAAAGGAGCAGGTAGAAGGAGGGCAAGAGAAGATCAAAGAGAGAGATTCTGTTTTCTGAGGCCTCCTTCTGAGAATTAAAGTGCCCCAACATTATAACTAAACTATTTGAGCTTATAATTTATAACCTTCAAAATTCTTGCTATTTATTGTTCTGTGAGGTGATACCAAATTAACCAAGCACAAAGAGAGTTCTTGGGAACCCCAACTTGAAGACAGCCGGCCAGAAGTTTGGGAGACCCAGATTTCAGAACTGATTGATTGCTTGCTTGCTGGTGGGCAGAAATACTCCTGCTTCCGCCGACATTCAGTCACATAAGTCTTCAGTGTTGCTTACTGTTGTGTGAGAGCAGATAAAAACCAATTTGTGGGTTCCCCCCTACTCAGACTAACATTTCAAAAGCATCCCTGCTATCTGAGAAAATAGGGCTGATAAAAAGAAGGTTTTGTAAAACCTAAGGTGCTTTTCAACTATTAGAGTGGCTTTCACACCCATGATTTTGTTTTATTTTAAAGCAACTGTGACTTTGATTACACATTAAGATTAGTTATTTAAAATAGATCATTCATAACTCATTTTATCTGAAGAAGAATTCCCAAATTCTCCATTTAAGTAAAGAATAACATTATTTATACCCATAATAACCATCTCCTAACGATTATGTGTCAAAGGATGACATACAGATCCAGATGATGTTGGCAACCCCATAGATTAGTCAGGAAAAGGATGTGTTTTTCATACAGAAAACCTAAATTCAGAGGCAGTGAAGCACAAAGAAACAACCTTGGGCCCTGGAGTCACACAGAGAGGGTATAACCTTGACTCAGTCCCATATCATCTATGCAACCTCACATGCATCATTAATCATTCTGAGTTCAGTTTCAACATTAGTGAAATGAGGGACACTCTCTACATGTGAGTAAATAAACATGTTTTGTTTTGGTGTGCAGAAACACACAGCTTCCTGTTCATCAAACATCCACCATGGAGAAGGGACTTAGGCTCCATTTCTTGCCCCCTTCTCTTCCCACCCTAAAGGTGATGCAGTAATGAAGAGTGACTTGATCTCTGAAAGAGGAAACCAGCTTGGCCCTGACTTACAGTCTTGACCCTATTGCACAAGGTGGGAAATTGTCCTTGCTCCTCTAGCTTCCACGCTGTGAGCAAAAGAGGCAGTCTTTGTCAGGCCCACCAATTTCTGTGATCTCTCCATTTCAGCCTCCCTATCCATGACTGTGACCAACCTGATAGCTAAAGGGCATCTGTCTTCAGTACATGAGGTAAGTGGTAAGGAGCCCCAATACTAAAGGCTAAGCTACATACTTTGACATGCATTTACCAAGGACTTTGGAGCATAAACCAATCACTTAATCACAAATTAACTCCTTATATCTGTTTATCAATGAGTGGGAAGCCTGGAAGAGAATCAATGTGCGCTAATCTCCAAACACCATCCCCTTCTTACAGAGTTTCTGTAAGGATTAGAAAGATATAGAACTATTCCATTACCAAAAAGATGTCTCTTGTGCTACCCCTTTACAGTCACCCTCACCTCAACCTCCCCCACCATCCCCATCCACTGGCAACTACTAATTTTTTCTCCATCTATATAACTTTTTCACTTTATTATCATTATTATTATTATTATTATTATTATTATTTTAGCCAGGGTCTCACTCTGCTGCCCAGGCTAGAGTGCAGTGACACAATCACGGCTCACTACAACTTCCAATTCCTGGGCTCAAGTGATCCTCCTGCCTCAGTCTCCCAAATAGCCAGAGCTACAGTGCACTACCATGCCCGGCTAATTTTTTAAATTTTTTAGACATGAGGTCTCACTAGGCTGCCCAGGTTGGTCTCAAACTCCTGGCCTCAAGTGATCCTCCTGCCTCCACCTCCCAAAGTGCTGGGATTACAGATGTGAGCCACTGCACCCAGTCAGTGTTGTCATTTCTAGAATGCTATATAAATGAAATCATAGAGTATGTAACCTTTTGAGACTGGATGGATCTTTTTCACTCAGCATAATGCCTTTAAGATCTACACAAATTGTTGCATGTATAAGTAATTTGTTACATTTTATTGCTGAGTAGTATTCTACGGTATGAATGTAACACAGTTTGTTTAACCATTCACCTATTACAGGATTTTTGTTTGTTTTCAGTTTTTGTCTATTACAAACAAAGTTGGTGCAAACAATCCAATATAGGTTTCTGTGTGAACATAAGTTTTCATTTCTCTGGGATAAATCCTCAGGAGTGAAACTGCTGGGTCATATGGCAATTTCAACTTTAGTTTTATAAGAAACTGCCAACTTGTTTTTCAGAGCAGCTGTACTATTTTACATTCCCACTGCCAATGCATGAGAGTTCCAGATTTTAAAACAGAAATGAATCATTGATGAGAAGTCAACTATAGTCTCTAAGTGGGTGCAGAACACAGCAATAAGCAAACTGGGAGGAAAAAAACAACTAGAAAATTATGCAGGTAAATTAACATAGAGATTCACATGCTTTAAGAATACTGGCAAAAACCTCTTACCTTCTTTAAACTGTATCCAGCATGGAAAATAATTGGGGGCAGCAGAATGTTGAAAAATACCTCTGGATCAAATGTTACCTACAAATTTAAAAATAAACAAAGCAAATTTTTAGTTTAACACCAACTGGTGCTATAATGTTTGCTTAATATTTGAAGCCATTGACTACAGTTTGAATATTTAGAGTAAATAACATAAATGTGAAAAAATCATGACTCATCCCAGAAGAGAATCCACAACTCCCCTGCATGCTCTTTTCCCTACAGCACTTACAACTTCAAATCTTGGTATGTTGTTTTAATACATATAAAGCACAGCAGTTCAGTGCAATTTTGAGAACACACAGAAAGCTTCCAGCTAATGTTTTTCAGCAAGAAGTAAAAACATTTTTATTTTCATCAACCTTTATAAAGAATCAACTGCAATAAAAGATGCTGTCATGCCAGGTACAGTGGTTCACGTCTGTAATTCCAGCACTTTTGGAAGATGAGGCAAGAGGACTGCCTGAGCCCAGGAGTTCGAAACCAGCCTGGGCAACATAGTAAGACCTTATCTCTACAATAAAAAATAAAAATAGAGCTTACTTCAGCAGCACATATACTAAAATTGGAACAATACAGAGAAGATTAGCATGTTCCCTGCGCACGGATGACACACAAATTCATGAAATGTTCCATATTTTTGGATAAAAAGTGTGGTATACATACATGATAGAATATTACACAGTCATAAAGAAGGACAAAATTATGAACTTCACAGCAACTTGGATGGACTTAGAGTCTACGACACCGAGTGATCTATCACAGAAACAAAGAACTGAGCATCACATGTTCTCACTCATAAGTGGACCTTGAACAATTATCATAATACCATAAGAAAAGGATTGGCAGTAG